GCCCTAATATTGGCAATATAACACATTATAAATCATAAATTAAATACCCAAAAGAGACAGTGGATCTACACCACTAAGCCTCTGGGACTCCTCCACGTGTCACTCGTGGCTCTTCTCCTGAAAATTGTTAACCACATAATGAGACTCAAAAGTTCCAGTAACCAAAGCCAATTTATGATAGTGTATACAAACAGTTAAGTGTGTGCTTACTAAGTGAGAATTAAAAATAATATAATTCCAACAAATATAAGAAATATTACAATACACACAAACAACCATCCTTATATCCCTCCATTAACCTCGAGCCGTAACCCTCACTCGGTGCTAAATCACCCGGCCAAAGATAGATTAGCCCGAGCCCTTACAAGCCACCTATTGAGCTCCAATAGGGGTGTACCACGTGGCACATAAATACAACAACAATAGCAAGTCTTCCAACACCTCCCACAATAATTAAACAAATTCATAATAATATTGCATAATTTTATAATGTTACAAAATTCATAATTTTTTCAATAATCACCCAATTAACATGGAGTAACACAAATCACAAATTAAAAGTATGGTTACCTTGTGGTTTTTTCAATAAATTATTCCTTAAAATTTCTCTCTCACCACAATCTTTACCAGTAATACAATCTACAAATAACATATTATTTATAAATATTAGTTTCAATTTTTGAAACTAATAAAATAATTCTAATAATAGAATTAAAAATATAACATAATTTTTAATCTCAATCTTAATACAAATTTAACGTTAATACTATTAAGTAAAATTTTTAACTCCTCTTTTAATTATTAATAAACATTAATAATCTAAAAAATTAGCTTCTAAACTAATTTCTATTATCAAAATTTTCTTTTTATTTCATAAATTCATACATAAAATACCCAAAAATTAAAAATTGAGTCTCTAGCTTAGAATCATAATCCTATAACCATAATAATTCATTTCTCATCCCAAATAATTATCTAAACCTCAATAAATCAACATATATTTTCAGATCTAGTTTAGAATTTGATCTATAAGCCACAAATTCAAAGATCATCAATAAATTTATACTCTAGAACATTTATTATACTATTGACAACCTCAAAAACCATATTTATTTAACATAAATTCATCCCTCTTCCAAATCTTAAATTTTCTACCACTACAAACTCAGAAACCAAAGAAGAAGGATAACTAAGAAAAATTTTTAGAACACTTATTTAGTCTTGAAAAGCTTAAAATTATACCATAAATATCCTATTAAAAACTCTTACCTTAAAACCCAGCACCGGCGAAATTGCGCACCGTCGCCCCCTCTATTCGCGCACGAAGAGAAATGAAAAAGAAAGGAGAAATGAAGAAACGAAGAAGAAGGGATGGGTTTTTAAAAAAAAATACTGTGGGTCCCACATTTTTTTTATTATTTCCTCTCTCTTCTTCTTCTTTTTATTATTATTATATAAATATAATCATTGCACCGGGGAAAAGCACCGAAAGCCGTTTTGTTCTCTTCTTTCTTTCCTTCTTTCTCATACCTTTTTTTTATTATCACAATAACAATAATATTTTAATAATAATAATAATATTATTATTATTATTATTATTTTTAATTTAGAATTATATCCTTAGTTAGATTTAATAATCATCTCCTACTAATTTGCTTACCTCTAAATATTTTTAAAAATTTTATTTACCAAAAATTAACTATTAAAATTTAAATTGGGATGTTACATTATGTCATTGAATTTCTCTTTACACATATTCATTGAACCGCATTCACAAATATTCACGAAACTCCACAAACAACATATCATTAAACTCTACAAGCATCACATCATTGAATTCCATGATGTTATTCTATAAAATCTCACATAAGCATGTCATTGAGTTTCACAAACACAATTTCATTGAAATTTACATGAATTAAGTCATTTAACTTTATAAAAACATAGTATTTGATTTTCAAGTAATTTATGCCACATTTTCATTTTTAATAATCTTACTCACTTCAATTATAACATGCAAATCATCAATAGATACACAAAAGCATAAGAAATATTTTTTCAGTTACCTCAAATTTTGAAAGATCAAATGTTTACCCCTTAATTTATCACTTTCAAAACTTTTACGAAACTTAAATGGTGCCAAGTCGTGATTACTCTACATTTATTCACACAATTCACACTTTAGGACAATTTCCAACACCTAATTCACACTTCAACACTCTTAAAATTCAATTTCTTTATACATAAAAGTATCTATTAGGCTCATTAGCTTTCTCTAACTCTCATCAACTCTATTGAACTCTCAACTAGCCATTGATGGTTTCACGTTACTCCATCTTCCTTATATATGGAAGATTTTCGTGTATTTTTGACTCCCAACTTTCAAAAATGCATAGATCCATAAATATTAGGTTTAAATAATATAAATAACCCATATTAACTCTATTTAAATAAACAGGTTCAGACTTGTAGCTTTTATAAATCAAAAATCATCTTTCTCAACTAAACATTAACTTTCCAATTCAAGAAAATGTAAAAAGAGGAGAGGCAAAGAGCTTAGGAGTCTTATCTTTAGTGTTTGGAAGTTTTAAGATACTCTTAATATATCTAAATTTCAAGCCTTAACAGAGGTTTTCCACGAGCTCCTTGTCTCCTCTTTTGTTTCTCCTACATTTTTTGTCAGTTTCACATTCTTATTTTTACAGAAATATACTTATGCGTCGTGGTGCCTGTGGAAACTCTCACCTTCTGGTGGCTCATGTGTTGTAGCTTGCCATGCATGTGATGAGACGTGTGGCACAAAATCATTCCTTTTTGTTTTTCTCACTTTTTGATGTTCGGGTATCCTGACCTTACTCCGAACCTAATCCAAGGATTGAAATTATAACCCAAAACACTTATTAGCTTTCTATAACCACACATCATATTAATGTACTTAATTAACTTTGTTTTTCTTTACGATATTGCATATGATCAAGTACAATACTTTCTTTGCAATTTAGTTCTCAAGGATATGAATGGTTTTAATATTTATATCTGACAAAAGAAAAGGCAACCATTTTCAGCTAGGTTTATGGCAGTTTCTCTCTCACCAACCAATTTTTTTCGAGTTTATTGAATTTTTAATTGGTTTTGAATGCCGAATTCCTAAAAAAAGGAAAAAAAAAAAAAAAGGTCAGGCGAAGCTATGTATAATGACAACTATCCCTTTTTTTCAGCAAAAAAGGTACAGGCTATGCTACATTATTTGGTAGGTTTTATCTGCTTTCCTATTGGTTGTATCGCGGGTTTATCTCTTTCCTCTTCTATTTTTTCTTTTTTGTATTAGTGTGGGTAAATTTTTTTTCTGATAGTAATAAAATGAGCTCCTTTTTTGTTAAGAAAAAAAAAAGTGCTACTAGTTAATTCCGCTGTGTGATTTATTATTATATATGATGACCAAAGGGCAAAGGAGAATGATCCCATGAGGGGAAGGCAATATCATAACCTGCCAAATCATTTCCTTAAAACGCTTTTGAGGCCGCGTCAGGTGCCTCCCATCTCCATCCAAAGAATCTCAACTATTTGAAGATGAGTGGCTAGATAGCAAATGAAAACCTTACAACGTGCATCTAGGAAATATAGGAAAGTTGGTTGGTGGGGCCTTTTCATTGTAACTTGGGGTTTGGTAATGGGACCACTCGTGGCTTTAATTTGGTCATAAAACCCATCATTAAACTACCCACCAACTAAAATAACATAGGAAAGGTACATGATTAATAACTCTTAACTACTCGTCTAGTCTTCTTGCCGGCAGCCTGCCCTTTCATGTTCCATTAATAAATTAACCAACACGTTTCACGACCAAACACCTCCCCATTATTTTATGGCTCATGTCGTTATTTTAAGTCGAGGACGATGAATTATGACTAGTATAACTTTGCTCCTGCAAAAGATTTCTCACTTCAATGAATCAACAATTCAGTGTTAAAACTTTCTTTTGATCTTTCCCATTATTCCGTCAACAAAGCTCTCTCTCCCTTCCTTTATTTCTAGTGAACTGTCCTCTCTTTATAGAAACAAATGAAGGAGAACTTGGACAAATTCAAGATTAAGATTGCCCACGTCCCAAAGAACCCCATGGAACGCACGTCGTGTAAAATTCGAACCCCTAACACCCCCTTTTAATACTCAGTCTAGCATGTAAAGCAAGCCCCACTAACAAAATTAATCCAGAACACAACGGTTCAAGCACCCACTAACAAAATTTACCCAGAACACAACGATTCAAAAAAAAAAAAAAAGTCATAGACATTACGGCATGGAACAAAAATTTTAAGGAAAATAGGACAGATGCTAAAATCATTAATAAACTGTTGCTATTAAAAATTCAAAGATAGAAGAGAGTCGTCAAAAAAATAGGAAAAATTACAATCAAGCCTTAAAAAATTAATTATTTTTTTAGTTTATTTACAAGTCAAATTTTTATATTTACAAATTATAAGCAGGCAATTTTTTTTTATTTAGCTGTAATTGAAAAAAGAGAGAACGAGAAAGAAAATCAGATGATGGATGCCGATATTCAAATTGAAAAAATTGCCCAAACACCTCCATTGGGATATCATCCAGAAAGGCAGATTGATCGTAAGTGTAGAGATTGAATTGTTAACGTTAATTCTTATGCCTAAGGAATATGTTAAGAATGCTGATGCTTTAACTAGTTTTGTTCAGACTTCGTCTTGGGATAACTACTTCTTTAACCATCCGCCATCATTTTCCAGAAAAGAAGAGAAAGGGTAGAGAAATGGTTTATTAGATGTGTTTTAATCTTGTAACCTTTTTGTTTGAACGAATCACTTTTTATCCAAAAAAGAAAAGAAAAATTGCCCAAACGGAAATCTTTAAAGCGTCGCTGTTCCCAATCACCAATAGAAGGACACTGCCCGTGCCCTCCTCGCCTCAGAAACAGTCAGTCTGGCAGAGGGAGAGTGATGGAGAGGCGAGAGCAGTAAAAATAGCCATTAACAGAAATATCATTATTTATTTTCTCTTCCATTTTACCGAAACGTCCAAAATGCAGATAAACACTAGTATAACAGTATAGAACATTATACCATTATCAATCAACACAACTGTGACCGACAAGTCCACCAATTCGAAATTGCAGATCCTCAATCTCGGGGTGCAACAATCAAATCCATTTAAAATTAAACAGTAAATAAATACATGAAGGGAATTTTATAGCAGGACAAATTCTAGCTCCTGCACCTCGTAATGGCGCTGCAGCCACGATTGTAAGGGTTTGCCTGAGCACCAGGTCGGCAATTGTAGTAGGAGGCGCCGCGGCGAGAGCAAGGCACGGTGTTCCTCTGCAACGCCCCGTAGCTGATGTACTGGGACGTGGCTAAGATGCGGCGATTGATCTCCGAGTCCAAGTCAAACTCCTCTCCATTCAAGCACTCTGCAATTGAACCCTCACAGCTCGACTTGGTGCGAATCAACCCTAGCCCCAAGTGGTGATGGCTGTCGCCTCCGGCGTTGACGACGGCCGATGAACCGATCACTAGCAGGATGGAACAAATAAGGAGGAAAACTACGGAATGAGGGTTTGCCATCTTTCAGAAGAGGATCCTCTGTTTCTGGATTGGATTATCGAAGGAGCTGAGGTGCGCTTTCGGAGCGGTCGTTTCCTGAATCTGGCTTTCTGAGGGAGGCTTTGGGTCTTCCAAATGAACAAGGAACCCACTTGGAACTATAAAGATCCCTGTTCAACAACGACCCTCAAATACTTCTTATTTGCGCATATGCCATCCCCCTGTATAATTTTTCTTCTCTCTTTTCTTTTTTAAATTTTAACCGACAGGGCGTCCCGCCCTTCTTTTTTAATTTTTATTTTTGATTTTACCCTTTTGGATTTTGCCTCTGTTTCTAGTTTTTGTATTAGATTATTTTTTTTACTTATTTTTTTGCCTTGAATTATTATGAGTATTGAACGTATATTTATCACTTGTACTTGAGTATTTATTCAATATTAAGTAGTATTTTATTTTTAAAATATCATAGATTTACTAATTGAAAATTAAAGAGAACGAGAAAATATAGGAATACAAATTTCATAACCTCTAAAAATAAGTTAATGATAAAAGGAGATGGTGTGTAGAGTCGGTATTTCGGGTTAAGCTCGATGGACTAACTTGAATCTACCTAAAAAAATTTAAAGTCAGGCTTAAAAAAATACTTTTTTATATTTAGGCTTATTCGAGCAGGCCCAAATAAATTTAAAAAAAATTTGGGCCAAGTCCAATCAGGTTCAGGCTTGACCTAAATATCCAAATAATTTTTTTATTTTTAAAAAATATATAATAATAATAAATATTAATTAATTATTTATGTTTTAGGTCATTTTATACTAAAAATATTATATATTTGAGTCCTATATATTATTAAATAGTAAAAATATATTTTATACTTTTTATAAAATAAAATAATTAATTTTGAAGTAAAAAAATTAATTAAAATCAATTTTAAAAATAAAAGTCGAGTGTTCGGCCCCCTACAAAAATTCAAGACGGGTTTAACATTTAAACTTTTCAGAGCATTGGACCTGTTCGAGTTCTCGTTTATTTAAACTAAGTCTGAATAGGCTCGATTCACCCAAATTTTCCGCTATAATTGTGTGTGACATGAAGACATTGGCTTTGTCTTTATTGATTTGATTTTTTCTCCTTAAATTTGATATGACGAGGCATTTTGACTTTTCTGTTGACCATTTCCGCGCTTGCTCGAGCTAAGAGTTGAGAATTAAGGGTTAAGCCACCCTCTTTCTGTAGTCATCGACTTGCATCCAATAGAAAGAAAGGCTTTTGTTGACGCCTGAATGAGTCAAGGTTCAGCCGCCGGAAGACAGCGCAGTTTCACATTCATAACCATAAACAATAAAAAAATACATTAAATTAGCTTTAACCGATGAATTTAGATTTATATTTAAATTTAAAACCTAGCTTGTCATTAACTTAACGTATTTAAATTTTTTTATTTAAATGGTGTAGAAAATCCACACCCATAATTTTTTAAATATTATTGAAAGATGCGTTTTGATATTTAAAATAGGATTAATAAGCATTTTATATTATAAATTAAATATGCAAATAACATCCTAAACCTTAAATTCCTAAAATAAATAAATAAATAAAAAATTCCTTCAATTTCTAAATTTCCATCTCTTGAAACTTTGTCGTTAAGTTAAAAAAAATATAAACATAACTTTTGATGCATTTTACTTTTGATCCTTACCATTTTTTTAATTTTTAAGTCTTTACACTTTTATTTTTATTATTTTTAATCTCTCTATGATCAAGTATAGAGACCTTAAAAGAATCTAAAATAATAAAAATAAAAATATAAAGACCTAAGACATCAAAAAAATAGAGAGATTAGAAGCAAAACCTGAATAAAGTACGAGACTAAAAATTATGTTTATCCCTAAAAAAATGGCCGCTACTTTTAATTGTAGGATCTAGTGGCCCACTGATGTAGCACTTATTTTAGCCTTTAAAGTAGTTATCATTTCCTCCAACTAACAACATGATTTTAGATACTTGAAATTTATAAGTTAGGAAAACAAATTTTTATATTTCAAGAGTTAGGCATTATTCACGCAATAGTTTAAAGTATATAATATTTATTAACCTTTAAAACTAATTAGAATAGATTATGGTATTTAAAATTATAAAGCATTTGTGGTGAAATATTGCTCCAAACCCAACGTCATGATTTTTTTATGTTTCATTATTATGAATTCAGTTCAGATTTAAATCCCCAACGATCCAAACATGACGTAGATTCACTTCTAATATTCTACGCAGGCCTAATAGCGATGAATAACAAAAAAGGAAATGCATAAAAAAATAAAGTCAACTAGAAACCTTTTTTTATAATAAAAGCTCATGTTATAAAGTAAATTAAATAAATAATATAATATTTAATATATTTTATATTATAATTAATTTATTATATTTGTCAATAATATATTTACTATATCAATGATAAACTTTATAAATTTTTAAATTCTTATAATAAACTCTTATATATTAATAATAAACTCTTTATATAGCAAGATGAACCGACCATATTATCAAATTTTTAAAAAATGAATTCATATTTTTTTTGTACAAGTCTTTTTTTTAACCAGTGAATTAATTTATTCTTTTTTGTTTTTTTGAAGGGCAGGTGAATTCTAGAGGCGTTGACAAGACAAGGAAGAATTAGGCTCATAGAAAACTGCCATGATAATTTGTTATACCTAAACTTTGATTTTGTTGGCAATAATCTAAACAAGAAATTCAGTGGAGCCACTCAACATCATGTCATTTGTGACTTATTCAATTAAAATATTTTAAATTATCTAGATAAAATATTGTATGATATTATTTTAATTAATTTTATTCTTGTAACAGAATTTATATTTAATTTCTTGTATTTTCTCTCTTTATTGTTATTAATATAAAATTATTTATATTTAATATCATTTAAATGTCATGTTTTTATTAGATATATCACAAATGACGTAGTGTACCCTATTTATCTATGAATTTCTCTAATCTAAACTTATTTTTCATCAGACGAAGCATGAAATATCAGGACTTTTAATGCTGGTTACTCGTTTTGAGTTCATGCTCAGATATTATGAACGGTTTTTGTAAAACGTTTATAGAGTTTCAATTAAATTTCGTACAGCAATTCAGTGCTGCTGGAGTAAATTTCTCATAGGTAAAGAAGATAATTATTGAAGTCAATAGAAATAGGATGACGATGTTATATTTGGCCAAAGGAAAAATAACAACACTTTATAATTAAAAAATATTTATTATATGTTTATGATAATTGTAATTTTTTTAACGGAAATTACATGTATGTAGAATTGAATAAAATAAAAAATGAGAGTAATCAAACTAAAAGAAATTCAAGAAAGAAATTAGAACGGGTCCGAAACACAACAAACCAGTCATATTGTTTCATTGTTTGCTAGATTGTAGCATTATATTTCATATTAATACTGACAAAAATCGTAGACTTGAATATGAAGGCACGCATATTCGTACTTCCAGTTTTTTAAATAAAAAGCAAAGAAAGAAAAACGAGGGACGGCATGCAAGAAAACTGCCCCCTTCCCTAAA